TAAAGGAGTTATCCAATTATATCCTCTGTACAAAAGTCCGCCTAGGCGCCCTGCGGCTAGGCATTAGACGCTCGAACGATTAGGCGGCGCCTAGGCGAGCTAAGCGGTTGTGAAGTTACTCGTGCTAGGCGATCTTGGCGGCGTCTACGCCCCGGTATATATTTCTTTTTTCAAATTATTTAATTTACTTTAGTTTCTATGCATGAAATGTAGAAAATTATATGATAATAAAAATAATAATATTTGTTTCACAATTAATAAAAGCAGTGCGAGCGTTGCCTGGGACAGTTTATGTCTACCGCATTTAGAGGGGGGGGGTGGGACTTCGTGACCTGAAAACGTGGAACCAAGCATTGCTCGCACGCACGCTTTTGAATATTCAAGCCAAACAGGACACGCTATGGTACAAGTGGATCAACCAGGTTTATCTCAAGGGCAACAGTCTTTGGGACTGGATGAAATAATTATGAATGCATTAGAATTTGCACAATCTTTGTATTTGACCATATTAATTAATTTTGTATAATATATCTTATAAATTATTATAAATTATGTATGATGACAAATATAAATACATTTATTGATATTTTTCGAAACCCCCAACGCGCCCTAGGCACTGGCCCATTCCACCACATAACGACTTTTAGAACATTAATTATATCTGAGCAAAGTAAAAAATATATAATAACCCAATAATTAAATAAAAAATCAGCATCCACACACACAAAAAAAAAAAAAAAAAAATCCAACTAAATACTTGGTTTGAGAAATTATTAAGTAGTTCAATAATTAAAAGGCCATAGTGTAAATAATTATTCATATTTTCAAAATTGATGTAGAAATGCAAATATTTAAGAGTTGCATTTTGCTTCAAAAGACGATGAGCCGATAAATATATGTTATCCACATCAAATAATGGTGTTGTGTTCGAAAACAAGTCTTTCTAGAGACGTTGCTTACATTTTTCGTACATGCCCCTATTTATCCTTATTTTTCTCGACTTTCTTAAAAGTGTACCATTTTGCTTCAAAACACGACGGGGCGATAAATCCACATCAAATAATGGTGTCGTGTTCGAAAACACGTCTTTACGGAGGCGTTGCTTACATTTTTTGTACTTGCCCCTATTTACATTTATTTTCCTCGACTTTCTTAAACGTGTCACCGGAAAGACCGGAAAGACTTGTTTTCGAACACGGCACCATTATTTGATGTGGATAACATATATTTATCGCCCCATCGTGTTTTGAAGCAATAATATTACTTTAAATTAAGTTAGTATAGAAAATATGTTTTACACTATTTATATATTGTATTTTTTATATATTTAACTGTATTTTTATATATAATATATGTTACTAATGAAATATTTTAAAGTTGAATGGGCTGTGGACCTAATGTGAGTCCTTCCTTGCTCGTCGCTATCCACTTCAATCATCGCGTTCAAGGCTTTCGGATGACAATTTTGCAATGGATGGTAAGGCTCACGGCATTTAAAACGATGTCCCTTTGCCCTGGAGGTCAAGTAGTCAGCGTGGGATAAGTTGTGGGTGTTGTGGTTTGTTAGCTCCGAGAGGTCAAAGGAGTCGAGGATGATTGTGAAACATGTTGGACCTGTGTCGAGAATGGTGGATCGTTGAGTGGTCTGCTAAGGCTAGTCGGCATGGACAGCATATTGGAAGGACATGGTTGTTCTTTGTCTGGAGGAGGATACTTGTAAAACAATTCGTGTTCGACTTGGCAAGTCAAATCAAATGGTTGTATACACGGGTCATTGTGTATATGGATGCAGATATCATTACGTAAACCACCCCCATAAACCGCCCCAAAAACTGGCCTAAATAATGAGGTTTCGACAAATCCAGCACCGAACCAGACGAGCTTCAGATTCAGCAATATAGTTGTCGGCAAACCGGGTTGCTGGGTGACCTTCATAGACTCGTAGAACAACTACTAAAGTTCTCAAGCGAAGCAGTAGCTCCTAAGTAAATCGGGGCCAAGTGATAGTGGAAAAACAATGCATTAAACCTTGAATCCAACATAATAGTGCATCCCTAAACATGGATGGTGACAAGCGTAATTAGAACCTTTTCCACGGTAGGAGTGGGGTGTCTAAAACAATTGCTCAGACATGGCTATCCAAGTGGTTGGGTCATATCCATTGAATGAGGGGAGATGAATTTAGGCGGCGATCATGGTTTGAGGTAGGTCAACGTTAGAGTGTATTAGGTAAGCAACATAAGCTGATTTATAGCTTATTTGATTAGCTTATAAGTATTTTGTAATCAAGGCTAGTGTTTGGTAAACATATAACGTAGTTTATAGTTTATTTGATTAGCTTATAAGCTTCTTGTATTCAAATAAACTTTATTTGATAGAACAAGCTTTTTCAAAAAACCCGAGTTTATCTCATAAGCTTCCTTGGGTAACTTTTTAATTAAGTCCATTGAATTTTCATTTCAGCTAGCTTATCAGCTAATTACCAAACACTTTTATCATACAAGCTAGCTTTTCAGCCATACGTCATAAGATATAAGCTCGAAATTTAATTAAAAGCTATAAGCTAGCTTATCAACAAGATTTACCAAATATAGCCCAAATAAGCTTGGTTTGGTACGACCAACTTTTTTAAAAAGCTCGAGTTTATCTCATAAGCTTTCCTGGGTAGCTTTTCAAATAAGCCTGCTGAAATTTTTATTTCAACTAGCGTAGTAGTTAATTTTACCAAACATTTTTATAATATAAGCCATTTTTTCAGCTATAAGTCATAAGTTAAGCTCAAAATTCACTTATAAGCTATGAAATAGCTTATAAGCTAGGTTTACCAAACATAACCTTAGTACTGGATGTTGTTTTCTCCTTCATAAAGGCGACATCGGTGGAAGAAAACGTGGTATGTACCTCGTCAAGGCTTCTCCATCATCTCCAAACATTGTTCCACCCTCTTCAAATGGGCGTCCATCCTTGTTTGCATACAAGGAGTGGCAGGTGGGACTAACTGATAGATTTAAGGGCGAAAACAAACGAAAATAATATACATTCGATATTATTATCAATTACAAAAATAACTCAAAAACATCTGGGGACGAATCCCGCCTAAGGCCGACACTTCGAGAAGAGCCTTCCTGCCCAAGCTTAAGCTTAAAGCTGACAATCCTATTCAACAAAAGGTATCCTAGGTATCAAATGCTAGTCTACTTAATAGAGTCATAACCGTAATTATAACCCTAATGTTGACCTTTGTTCTGACCATGATGTGTTGTTAGGGTGTGATTTAGTGCTTTGGAGCAATTTAATGAGTAAATATTAAGGGAAACAGAAACAGCAACGATCGGATTGCCGATGAAATTAGGGTGCTCGCACCGGAGATTAT